GTTCAGTTTACTTTCACATGCCTATATTATATCTATATAAGTATATAAATATATTGATACAGATTTTTAAAAATTAAATCAAGTTACTTCGGGCCTTGTAGTGTGTTCAAACAAATTTGTGAGACCTCCTTGCTATTTTATGAGATGTTCTTCGGTAAACTGAAGACAAGTTTTCCTGCTGGACCTAGATGCCAAATTGATGCAAAACGTAAATGGCAGAGTTTTGTCCTCTAATCTTAGCTGTTTCTCTAACTGAATCTCACTCTAGGGATGGGTGCTTTCATCTAATTTGGTAACTGTGCTGTCTCAATGTTCAAAACACATCTACAAGCTGAAGTTTTTGTAGTAGCCAGCAGGTGGCATCAAAATCAATTGAGTGGAAATCCCAAAGAACAGGACCAGACACAAGGATCAGGAGTAACTTCCCTGAAAGGCAGAGAAAGTTACAACAACAGAGCACTCCGTTTTCCTTTGAGGTCTCTGTTTTACCCGTTTTGACATTTTAGAAAACCCCCAGTGCTCTCCTAGTGTCTTTCTGGTTAGGCATGGATATACAAAACACAAAATGGCCAAACTCTACGTCCCAAATATTATCACACTATTTCTTTTCTTTTTTTTTTTTTTTTTTAAGATTTTATTTATTTGACAGAGAGACACAGCGAGAGAGGGAACACAATCAGGGGGAGTGGGAGAGGGAGAAGCAGGCTTCCCGCTGAGCAGGGAGCCTGATGTGGAGCTCGATCCCAGGACCCTGGGATCATGACCTGAGCCGAAGGCAGACGCTTAACGACTGAGCCACCCAGGCGCCCCAATCACACTATTTCTAAACACAGAATTTAAGCTTAGTAATAAGGAAGGTGTTTGAGAATTAAGAATCTAAGGGTTGCTGTAAGTACATCATGACACTAACAAGTACAAATACTCTGTTACAGTCTAACAAGTATTTCCTGCACTGTATTGTTTGGGGGGCTTTAATTACACATCCTGACATAGATGCATTTCATTTTACAACAGAAGTGCGTGTGAGTGTGTGTGTGTGTGTTTTAATTTAATGATATTTTTACCAGTTTATGTTCAAGATTTTTAGGACTGGTAAACATGCAACATTTTATCATAGGACTGTACTGTAATTTATCTAATTAATCTCTATTGATAGCCATATAGGATATTTCCATTTAATTACTACTATTTCATAGTACCTGTATCACTATAACATCAGGAAATTTTATGCAAATTTCCACTAGGTAAGTTTCTAGGAGGAAAACTGCTGAATCAGAAAGAATATACAAATTTGAAAAGTATTTCATAGAAGCCACTTTTAGACAACAGGCTTGAGCAATGGAAACTTGGTCAAGGCAGAAGGGCCCAAAGTGACCCTGGCTGAATGAATACAGACAGGCCCATCAGCGGACCCACCTCAAAAGTTCCATAGGACCTCTAACCGATGGGCTACTTATAACCAGGCACAGTTACCAAACGGGAGATTCCGCATGTTGCCACACCTCCTCACCTTCCCCCTTTAAAAACAGCCCCCCACCCACTACCTCCATGCAGATCACCTCTCCTCTGCTGTCTGGCCTGCAGCTCCCTTGAGGTGTATTCAGTAAACTTCTATCTCCTTTGTTCTGCCTCAGGTGAATTCTTGTCACCACGGGCACCACTGGCTTCCACCCAAGAGCCACCCCACATTTGGGGGCCCCCCCATCCGATCGGGAGACACACCACATTTAGATACCACAGTTTTGATAAATATTATATTTCATTACCAAAGTAGAAAAGGAGATGCTTTTAACACTGTAAAATTTTACTGTTTTCAATTTTCAACCTAATAAGCAAAAAAGTGTATTAATTTGCATTTCTTTAACTATGGTTGAACAATGCCTTGTATGTATGTATGTTATTTTCTGTTTATGACTTTTGCCAACTTTGATACTGAATTATTCTTTTCCTCTTTAATTTTGTAACAGCAGTTCATATAATAAAGCTATTGACCCACTGTCAGATACATATGTTGAAAATATTTTTTTCTGGATTGCCACTTATCTTTTAACTTTGTATACAGTGAGTTAAATGGTAATATAGTGGCAATATATTTTCAAATAAAGACTTCTTTACCCCATAATTCTATAAATATACCTCTGCATTTTCTTCTGTTACTTTTTTTATTGTGTATTTTATATACAAAATCTTCAGTGTTTCAGTATTCATTTTGGTGTAAGGTAGGAGATAAATATCTAATTTTATATTCATGAATAGCATTTCAGTTAATTCAATACCATTTAATAATTCACATTTTTGTTACTGATTCGGAATCCCACCTTTATCACATTCTAATTGTATTGTATTTACTTGTATTTACTTCTCTCTGCCTCTTTCTGTGATAGTTCCACACTGTTTAAGTGATTGAAATCTGATATTCTCATAAATATTTTCACTTACTATTAAAAACTCTAACCATCATTTAAACTTCCTTGTTAAATTTTCAAATTAATACACAATTAGAAGAATTAAAACAATTGAGAAGCTTAAAAATATAAATTATATATTATGTAATTATTACATGATAATGATGTTATCAAAAATCGGTGGGGAAAAGAGCATATTATTCAACCAACTATTCTGAGATATTTGCTTCTGCAGTTGGAAAAAAAATTTTGATTACTACTTCAGTCCATATAAAAAAAAAGAAATTCCAAGTAGATTAGAAATTTAAAGGTAAAAAGGGGAACCATAAAAATATTAGAGAAATACAGGTGAATGTTTTTCAAGAGTAGGAAAGCAATTACAATCATGACACAAAACCCAGAAACTATAAAGGAAAAGTCAACAGAATCACCTCTTGAAAATATAAACATAAGTTTTAATGGTTCCATTAGAGACATCATAATTTACCATCATCCACATATTATTGGATATCTGTATAGCGTCCAATATATTGTTATTATAAATAATACATTAATGAACAAGTCTGTGTTACACTAGGATTGTCTTTGAATGATCTTTATGTACTGCAATTTGTAGTATCCCATTTTTGTTGAAGATAAGTAGGTCATTGGCTTAGGTCTAGAAAACTTACTGTTACAGAGGCCCTTTCAAAAATAGCTTATTTTAAGAACTAGAGATTTAGACATTTGTATGATTTTTTTTTTTTTTTACACCACCTGGTGCTTTCTTTGTCCTTCATAGTGTAAAAGTTTTGTTGGCAATGTCTAGGGTTTTCTGAGTTACTGAGGTTAAAATAAGAATTACTATTCTAGATGAGGACTTAGTCCAGTTTCCAATGGGCTACAAGGACCTTTTGTAGGAGTCCATTCGTCTGTCATAAACTCAATCTGATATGATTAAGGATTTGATCCTCACCCACCCCGCTGTCCAAATTTCTAGTTTCTCTTGATCATCTGTAATAATTCTACTCCATGAACATTATTAACCCTTTCCTGAATCTATTTTTTAAATTTGTATCTCTTGGAATAATAAGCTCCAAAGTTATGGGTGGGCAACATACTGAACACAACAAATGTTCACATAAAAACACACACACAAAATTGTTCTGAACCTTATTTTTTTGTTGTTTTTGGTAGTAGCGAGGGCTGCTGTTGTTTTCGTTTTTTACCCATTCAATGCCAACTTTTATAGAAACTGAATTGGTTATGAAGAACCAGGAGATCTAGTAAAAACCCAGGTATTGCCAGAAAAGAAACAGACCAGTGGGAAAAGAGAGGAAATTTTCTAAAAATGTGAAATTTATGTTTTGTTTTGTTTTTTTAAGGTAAAGAAACAGAAAAATTGCCTTTGGAAATTGGAAACTTTTGTTATGATTAACATTAGAAAGGAATCTGATAGAACATTCTCCCTTGTTTCAGCTAGTCAGAGCCATGGTCTATAGCAACCAAGTAGCTTTGAAAAGCCTACCACTCACTGAAGATTTCTGGGTGGCATACACTTTCAAAAGTGAAGTGATTTGTCAGTAGGCACTGTGGCAAAAACAATTCTAACTGCAACGTTTAGCTACTCAGAACTCAGCCTTCCAAAAGCCCATTTCAGAAGGCATTTTAAAATATGGCTTCTGATAAAATCACTCGTCCAATTCATCCACTATAATTATACTTTTGCTAAGCAGAGTCTAATAAAATGCTGCATAACAATGACAACTTGTCCTAAATCATATAGTATGAAATTTCCCAATTGCTTATAGACGGTCTCTAGGATAAATGGGAGGGAAAAACCTCCTTTCTGAATTTCAATCTTCTTACGAAGTCTAGTAGGATTAATGTAAAAATGATTTTGTTACCAGCTAGACCCTGAGACCTGGCCATTATGGCTCACCTGCTTGTACCCACCAACATTTGTCCCACATTTTCCTTAAGCTCTTCTTCCCAACTTATCTCTTAACTTAGGCAAAGGACCTTATGGGCATAACATCCCATGATGGACACTGAAACTACCCCTCAAGCAATGATGACTGCCTGAGGAAGAGTTCTGGTGGCCCAGACCACCAAACCTGTTTGAGCTAACCCCCCCGACTCACTTCTGCACAAATGGACCATGGAGTGACCTCTGGAATGACCAACAATTAATTTCCCTTACCTCATCATAATGCTAAAATCTCTGCCCAAGATGGAGCACAAGCCTCATTTACATATCATACATACCATATCTATATATATGTCTATATATTTCTGTAGGCATGTTTCTTTAAGGTGCATACATGACCTTATACCTACCTCTGCATAAGACGACAAGGCTTTCCCATCTAAATATTCATCCTAACCTTAAATAAAAGGAACCCATTCACCCTTGCTCAGGGAGTCACAACTTTGGAAGTTATTTCCTGTGATCAACTTATTTGGTGCAAATAAAGTTTCCCTTGTGTGACAACTCACATGGTGTAGTTTCTACCTGTGACTCACCAAGAAGCGAACTCATGCTGGTTCAGTTACAGTTTCTAGGTTCCAGCTTAGACGGCAAAAATCAGACAAAGGAAAGGTAGCCATACTCACTCATTGGGGGTGCCCTTCTGGCCACAAAAGTGGCCCTTGCTGTCTGTAGGGTAGGCCACTCTCCTGGGGTCTCCATGTACCCAGGCTGCAAGAACAAGAAAGGACAAAAACTCTATCAGTGACAGCTGACTAAAGGCAGTCTGATTTGAGAAATTAGAATGCACCACAGCAACACATTAACCTCTCCCCTCAGTCACAGGAGATTATTGATTTTCTTCAAAGTAATTTCTTAATGAAAAGTAAAATAAAATATGGATGAATCAGTCAGAAAACACATTTCTTTTAATCTCTCAGGACTCATCTGGGTTGTAGCCAAAACCTGAGGTAATGCACTTAGAAAATGACATTTATTAGAATGTGAATTAGAGGGCACACTGTAAATGCTTGGTTGGCTAGAAGTCACTTTTCTCCAGGGCTTAAAACTAAATGACTTCATAGCAGAGCTAATAAATTTACAGTAAATATTATGATGTAATTCTTTTGGGTTATACATAAGTGAAAACCATTTAAAAATTCAACCGAATGAAACTGTAATACCCAATTCACATTGACTAGTTCTTTATGACTTCATGTGCCATTATGAAAGGCAAACATCAGAAACTTTAGCGGCAATATATAATAAAGATTTGCTGTACATTTTGTTGCATAATCTCAAAGCTTAGTATAAATTTCGAGTGTTCTCAAACTTCATGCAAACTGAAGACTTGATTCTGTTTTCTCAGGAAATGCAGGGCTTTACCTTATATAAACTTATCACCTTTATTTTCCAAGAATTATAAACTTGACTGACAGCTAGAATATAGAATGACAGAGAGTAAGATGCATTAGCTAAATAATACCCCCAATTCTAACTGAAGGTTTCTTTTTCAGTTTAATATAGTTCCTAAAAATCTAGAAAATGCATTGGCCATCTGATAACGCTTGCCTCTGCATATGGAAAACCTATCTCTTTGTCCTTTGCTTCCTTTAACGGTTGCCCAGCTATCTCCTTACCCCACATTTATTGGATTTGACAGTTCATGTAATAATTCAATCACCCTTATGTACATGCCCTGTGTGACTTGGGAAGATAAAAAAAAATCAATTCTGAATGAGAATTTTAATATGGAAGAGAAATTTTTCTCAATAATTTTTCTCATCCATCCAAGTCTTTCCTTTTAGTATCTAAGTACCCAGAAAAGTCTCCTTTGTCTCATTCTTTGTTCAATGTCATAGAAGCCAAATAGGTTTCATCTTCTAATATAGTCGTATAAAATCTGACTCATTCAGGCTGCCTTATCTTCTTGTCTTTATTTCCCAGAACAAAGATAGTGGACTGTAAAGAAAGCATTTAAATGTCATCTAAGCATTCAGTGGACAATGTCTCTGGATACTATTCCATTATATTCTGCTTTTATATCTTTTTGGGGGGGTCACATTTAGGCTAAAACTAAGAGGTCCACTTTTACCTATTTCCTGCAATATTTTTTTTTACCCTGAAATTTTTTTTTTTTAAAGATTTTATTTATTTGACAGAGCACAAGCAGAGGGAGAGAGAGGGAGAAGCAGGCTCCCTGCTGAGCAAGGAGCCTGATGTGGGACTCGATCCCAGGACCCTGGCATCATGACCTGGGCCAAAGGCAGCCGCTTAACCGACTGAGCCACCCAGGCGTCCCACCCTGAAATATTTTATTCCTTTCCATACAAATATTAACTCAGAAATGGTATGTAAAGCATTTAGATTGCTAGGTTGGCTTGTTAATATATTTATGACCCTGAACAAGTCATTTAATTGTTTTAGCTTTGGCTTTCTAATCTGTTACTATAAAATGGGTATAATACCAAACCCCATAAGAATGTTGAGAATATGAAAAAAGACAATAAAGTAGAATGCCTAACATGGTGCTTTGCATGCAACATGGACTTGGTAATGTTAGTTCCTGTCTTATTTAGGTTTCCCCAACGCAAATCCCTGAGACAAGGACTTTGCTATGGGTAGATTAATTTAGGGGATAATTCTAGGAAGCTTAGGTGGGAACGAGAAGGGAAGGAAGCAAAGCCAACAAAAGGCATGTTAACAAGTGGGATACTGTTGGGGGCTGTGGTGACTCCATTCTGCTGAGGACCTTCTGAGGAACCACATAGAACATGCTTGTTGGGGGGCATGCTGAAACAGTCTACCACAGCTGCAAGCAAACCCAGAAGAACTGAGGGGAAGTGGGGTAGGACATTAGCAGGATCTACTATAGTTTTCTTTCCCTTTTACATCAATTAACAAAAGAATTTACTAAGCAACCACTATGTGTCCTGTACTAGAAGTCAATACCATTATAGTTTATATCGGACTTCTGAAGAAAAACATGAAAAGGAGACAACAAAATTTGCAGAAGCAGACACTTGAGTGGCTCAGTTGGTTAAGCGTCTGACTCGAATTTTGCTCAGGTCATGACCTAGGGTGGTGAAATTGAACCTCAAGTCAGGCTCCACGCTCAACATGGAGTCTACTTGAGATTCTCTCTCTCTCCCCCCTCTCCTTTTGCCCCTCCTCATGCCCATGCACACTCATGCTCTCTCTCAAATAATAAATAAATAAATAAATAAATAAATAAATAAATAAATAAATAAATAATATCTTTAAAATTTACAGAAGCCATAAAGAAGAGGTAAAAGCTGGCAAAGACTGAAAAATGACTAGAACTTGGACCAGGTGGCCAGGAGCAGGGAAGAAATTATAGAACAAGGAAATATACAATAAGAGCTTCAATGTATTAATTACTCACAGTGTGTCAAGTTCTATGCTAAATGTATGACATCCATCTCATTTGAGTCTTGCAATAATTTTATAAGGTAGATATTATTTTCACCCAAATTTTATAGGTTAAAAAAAGAAGAGCTTCAGTTAAGAGATGGCAGGGAGGGGCAGAGGGCAAGGGAGAGAGAGAGAGAGAATCCTAAGCAGGCTCCATGCCCAGCATGTGAGCCCGACTGCACAATCCCAAGATCATGACCTGAGCCAAAAATCAAGAGTCAGACGCTTAACCTGCTGAGCCACGCAGGTGTCCCTCAGAGTTTTATTTACTTCCCAAGGTCACAGTTTTTCAGTGGCATAAACAGGGCTTGAACTTAGGCTTGTTGCTGTCTAAGGCTCAAGTTTTAACCACTAGGCTAAAGAGCTGTAGTACTGCCTGCTAGAGGATAAATTAGGACTGAACTTGTTAATAGTGGGAAACAACATGGATATCAGCTACATGAGGATCAGCAGGATGTTGGACACATATGGTAGGAAAGGAAAGGACACAGGTAATTTTGGAATTTTTGTCATTTGAAAAGAAAAACTTTATACTTGGCAGGAGAGGACAAGTATCAGGTTGGGAGGGATCTGATGCCTGGGGACAAAGGAGAAAGAGACCAAGATTTAATTGTCAAGGGAAGAATGCTCTTCCTTTGTTCTGTAGTTTTAAGCTGCAGCAGGTGGCTGTGATTATGAAGTTGCTGCTTCATCTCTCTATGCAGACTCTGGCACAGAGGTTGTGTTGCAGATTATCTGTGCTTGAGCTGGAATGACAAATCTTCCAGTTAATAGCTGCAAGGTCCGGTTCAACCAAGTCACCTCAGTCAAGGGTATCTAGTTTTATCTTCTCCATCAAGTCCCCATCTTGCCACACCTCCACTGGAGGAATTTGACAGGGAAAAAAAAAAAAAAAGAGGAAATGGAGATGTGCAGCAACAGCATTTTGTCTGTTAATAAACTAAGGGACTGCTCACATTTTACTTCCTTTCTTGAAATTTCTCTATTCATGGCACTTCTCAGAACGTGCTGTCCAATATGGCGGCCACTAGCCACTCGCGTCCACTGAACACTTAAATGTGGCTTACCTGAACTGAGACATGTTATAAGTACAAAATACACATCAGATTTTAAAGACAGCATGCAAAAAAAATGTAAAAATTTCAATAATTTTATATTGATCATATCCGAAATAATAGTTATAGTTAAATATATATTCTTAAAATTAATTTCACTTGACTCTTTTTATTCTCTTAACTATGGCTACTGGAAAATTTGACATTAGACATGACTCACATTTTGTTGCTCCTGGGTAGATCTACTCTAAAATATTTCCCCACAAATGTCAAGGGCTTGTCATATAAGGTGATTAATAGTGTCATAACATCACAGATCTGTTGGGGCACGTGGGGTGGCTCATTTGGTTAAGTGTCCAACTCTTGATTTCAGCTTAGGTCATGATCTTGGGGTCGTGAGATTGAGCCCTGTATCAGGCTCCGTGCCTGGTGGGGAGTCTGCTTGAGATTCTTTCCCTGTCCTTCTACCCCTCCCACCACTCAGGTGCTCTCTCTAAAAAAATAAATTTTAAAAATCTTTAAAAAAAATAGTGCCATAACTTCAGATTTGTAGGCCAGTCCTTCTCCAACCACATCATACTCAATGCATCCTTTTTATAATAAATATTTTGCCATGCTCCTTTTATAATCTTGAAATAATAGATAACGTAACTCACCTATGTACATAATTTCTTTTAAAATATCAATAACATGTCCTCACGTAATATAAATGAGAAATAGAAAATAGTTTATAATTAAATAGTATGCACATCAATATGCAAATGCTCACAAGTGACTAAACCAAAAGACAGTGAATTAATCCAGGTACATGCACCTATAGATAGAATCACTGAATGTAACAGCTATAACTGCAGTATTGCATAGGAGACTTAAATCATACAAGTGTGTTGTCAATAAAATGATTTTCCTAAGGGAACAAATTTTAGTGAATTCTAACAAAAAAAGCACATTCTTTCTTCAAACTCCCTTGGTAGTCATTGAAACCATGCAAAAATAACATTTGTAATTTTAAAACAGAAGTTCTAGATTCAAATACTTAAACATGAGTTGTCACCTACATGAGGGGACATGGGAAAGTCAAGCAGGAAGTGAGACAATTCTTGGTTGTACAGAACTGTCCAAGATATTGCAAAACATCTACCTTTCCTGGCTCCCATCCACTAAATGCCAGCAGTACTCCCCCTTGAATACTATAACAATCAAAAAGTCAACTCAATTTTTTTGAAAGATCCCCCTAAGCAG